TCTCCCGCTCCCTCTCTCTCTCTGTCTCTCTCTCTGACTCTATCTCTTTCTCTCCCTGTCTCTCTCTCTCTCTCTCCCTCCCTGTCTCTCTGTCTCTCTCCCCTCTCTCTCTGACTCTATCTCTCTCTCCCTCCCTCTCTCTGTCTCTCTCCCCTCTCTCTCTGCCCTCTCTGTCTCTCTCTCCCCTCTCCCTCCCTCTCTCCCTCTGTCTCTCCCCTCTCTCTCTGTCTCTCTCTCCCTCTCCCGCTCCCTCTCTCTCTCTGTCTCTCTCTCTGACTCTATCTCTTTCTCTCCCTGTCTCTCTCTCTCTCTCTCCCTCCCTGTCTCTCTGTCTCTCTCCCCTCTCTCTCTGTCTCTCTCTCCCTCTCCCGCTCCCTCTCTGTCTCTCTCTCTGACTCTATCTCTCTCCCTCCCTGTCTCTCTGTCTCTCTCTCCCTCTCCCGCTCCCTCTCTCTCTCTGTCTCTCTCTCTGACTCTATCTCTTTCTCTCCCTGTCTCTCTCTCTCTCTCTCCCTCCCTGTCTCTCTGTCTCTCTCCCCTCTCTCTCTGACTCTATCTCTCTCTCCCTCCCTCTCTCTGTCTCTCTCCCCTCTCTCTCTGTCTCTCCCTCCTCTCTGTCTCTCTCTCCCCGTCTCTCTCTCCCCGTCTCTCTCTCTGGCTCTCTCCCTCCCTCCATCAGTGTACATTTCTCTCTCTGTCTTGTTTTTTCATTCTCTTTCAGCGACTCTCCCTCCACTTTGACCCATCTCCTTCCCCTCTGTCCTTCTCTCAGCACACCGCCATCTCTCCAGAGGGTCGGCGCTGAGGGAGCAGGCGCTGTCGGAGGGTCAGTGCCGAGGGAGCAGCCCAGGGGTGTGAACGCTGCTGGGAATTGTTCCCAATACCTATTTCCTCAGTTGTGGCTGAAATACGCTTCTGCTCATCATTACCAGGCAGCTGGATGTCGGAGCATGCTGTGTTTCCCATCAGACATGGGAGTCCCTCATTCACTGGACAGCATCATGGGTTACAAAAATGTGCTACAGTAGTACAAATTCTCACAACCTTTTAATGTGAAAATGCACTGGGCTGCT